GTTACCTATGTGATTCAGTCATGTGCAACGAATATTTGAGATTTTGTATCTGTGCAAGTGAATTAGGCAATTATTTGTAAAGTGTACACAGATATTAAGGTAACAGAAGAACTAAGATACCGGTTTGAGCACTCCCCCATGGTACCAGTGTGGCAGGCGAATTTTTAGGGATCGAAAGGCTGTACGAATACTACTGGGACAGCACTATATGCAGTGGCGGGTGACAGCTTTACTCCGGTTCGAGTATCAGTAGGCGATGCACTTCCTGTTGACCACGGTAGTAGGCAACATGCTTAAAGTTGTCAGCATGTAGTGCTGATAGACCCTAACCCTCACCGTGGCCACAGATGCTCGAGTCTAGAGAAGACTTCAAGTACAGCATAGTACGGTGATAGAGTGATTGGTTATCTAGCAGTAGGCCATTTAAATGGTGTCATTTAGCTCACAACAGCAGTCAAGCCTTTAATAATTTAATTCAGCGAGTGGTAAATCCGAGGCTTAAGGGCTGGTTGACGCAAGAGACGTAGACGAAGCGTCTCTCTGCAGGAACAGTAAACACAACCATTCAGGGACTTTTGAGATGTGGAAAGTTGGCGCACACAATAAAGTGGAATAAAGTGATGAAAGTGCACCTTCTTAACCAGCTGCGTAGAGGGCCTCTCCCAGATGCCATTGCGATACTGTGAGGAGACTGTGAATGCACGTTTTTTACTCCTTTAAATTTACTGTACAGTGTTTTGCTAAAATTTGGGGCAAATTATGTGAAGTTTTTAAATTAAGAAGGAAATTAAGGCATTTAATAATTCATCTGGAAATGTTTGCACACTATTCCGCAAATTAAGTGCATTACACATCCTTGAATTCTTATTGCTAAGAAAATTGCACAAAATTTCTAAAAAAGTGTTTATTAAGGTTTAATTGTAATCAGGGGAATTTAAGGAAACGTATTTATTTCGCCTAGCTTCCAGTTCCAAGGCCGTTGTAGTTTACCCCGTAGTGTCCGCGGTATTTTAAATGGCAGAGGGCAATTCGGAAACACTTAATGGGTTACTGGAACAGGCCTTAGGAAATCCAGAGGTAAAAATAAGGCTTGTTATATTTTTATTGAAGTATGTCCTAAGTGTATTTAGAGTTTTTTTAATGTTTGATACAACTTTTGTTTCACTTTAATTGTTTACTTTTTAGTTCTACCTCCTTTTTAGAAATTATTTAAAGCTTTTTTTGTGGAATTTTTAACAAGACTTTATGGTGCTACGGAATCCTTTTAAATGGTTATGTAAAACATGGTATTTTAGCTGGATATAGTTTCAAGTTAAAACTTTTTTATTTCCTAGCCGGGTGCTGTTAACTTTAACATTTTGCACCAGTTGATAGCAGCTCTTCTTAGACGCTTGGATTTATCAGATGCAAGTCCAGAAGACGTTAGTTCTAGGGGCCACTCCGTAAATTTGGGTGATTTTCAGGTAATTTAATATCTCAGAGCCAATGGTCAGTTTAAGTCGCAATTAATTGTCCGCAATTATTGTATCTTTTTGTTATAGACCCGGCTGTCCAACCTTGAGAAAACAATGCATCACCTTACATTACCAATAAGTACCAATGTAATGGAACAGGACACGATTCAGCGGATTAACAGTATAGACTCAGAATTACAAAAAGTGAGATGAATTACCTTGATCTTTTTCAAGCAGCCAAAAGTAGCCACGACTTTATTTTTTACCCCCAGACTTCAAATCTGGTCAATGATCTTGTGGAAAAATTTGCCGAACTTCAAGCAGAGGATTCCAAAAATGCAGATGACTCAGAAACAAGGACAACTATTTTTAATAAGGTGCAGGAGATGGAACAAGGAATTAGAGAACTGTCACAAGTTTTGGTAAGATGCTTATGGTACTTATGCTTGTGTTAAAACTTTTATGAGCCGTATTAGGTTAACACCCATCTTGTCAAGATATAAAATGGCCTTTTAGCGTACCACACTGAATGCAATGCTTGTTTGCAAACTTCAGGTTTATTAACTTGCACTTAAAAACATATTTAACTATCTAATGAAAACTGTTAACTACATTTCAAGGGTGTACAGAAGGGAGGGGATCAAGTTTCCTCTATTTTATCTGAAAACGAAAAGAGTATTTCTGAGCTGCAGCAACGCATGGAACAAATGGAGGTATACTCAGTCAACTTCCCGATTAAATCACTAGAAAATTAGAAGAAGCTTTTCTATTTTTACTTGTTTGAAAATCATTTAAGCAAAGCACTGAATATTGTTGAATTTAAAAACGGTTTGTCAGTCTGGACTATTCCTAACACTTTTCCACTCATTTTAACTCAACATCTTAAACAAAGTCTTTTAAAAATTTGTCTTTCCAGAACTCCCTTGACGTTTCAAATAAGTTAAATTCGTCCTCAAATAATTCCGATGCCCTCGCCGCATTAGCCGAACGTGTGGAAGTGCTCAATAAACTGGTCAATTCTCAGCTGTCGAAACAGGTAAATGTTGAGATACTCCTCCGCCAAACCAGTTTAAAAATTAGGATTAAATTTCTTTTATTTTTTTGCAGAATGATAACCGCGACGAAGCTGAACCGAACATCAAAGTCTCTATTGAATTGCTAAAAATGGTGATAAGTGATGTAAAAGAGGAGCTGGACAATTTGGGCGATACCATCAAGGTATGCACGAGCCTTTGACCGATTTCCTTTCCCATGCTAGTGGTACCACCGTGATGGGAAAATAAGTGATCAATTTGATTTTGTTCGAAAAAAAAAAACCTTTTTGGAATTCCTACTTTTTCTAAAGGTCTACAAAGATAAAGGTCATTTTACAAAACATTCCACAGTGCTAAAGCATACGCTGCTTCTTTATCATGGGATTGTGGCTCCTTTCTATGTTGTGCGCTTTGCCTAGAACTGTTCGTCATAAAAATCTTCTTTTGGATTCCATTCTGAGAATTTCTTCTTGGAGTCTTTTACTTGAGGCCATACAGCCTAGGAGCGTGCAGGAACAGGCAAGGCTAGCGATTTAGTAGGAAGAAAGCACACTCCTCTTAGTCTTGCAGGACATTGAGGGCCCTTCTGTGGGTAGAATGGAACCTTACTTAAAATAAGAGAGTCGTCAAGAATACAACTGTACCTCTTTTTTAACCGCAAGTGACACTGAACTTCTTTGACAGGCACTTGAGAGTTGGATTGTCACTTGTCAAATGATAATTAATAACTGAGAAGTACGAAAAATAAAGAATCAAAGGTAGCTAGACGAGATGTTTCGGGGGTCCTGGTGAGAGGCTCGTTGATACTCCAGCCAACAAAGACATTTAAGGGACGCATCTGACTTTAGCTTGTCAATAGGTGACAATGACGTCAATGAGGAATTACTTCCCAGTCTTTCTTTTCAAAATAGAATATACAAGAAACCCTCGCCACTGTTGTCCAAGAAAAGGTATCCAAACACCACTTGGAAGAGGCTCTACAAATGGTAAGATGCGTCCATAAGTTTATTAGTTTATAAAATAGGAACTCTCTGTCCTATACTACTTATTTCTCACTCAAATAGTAGCATATGTCTGATCGCCAAAAAAAACTGTACAGACGTCAGTGGACCTGTAGAATGTGAGCACTTTTTCATGTCAGATGTGCTCCGGTACATCCGCACAGCCCTTCACTATCGTCCACTTCTTTTGAATTCGTGCGCAATAAGTGTTCGGCTGAACAAACCTACTTAATGCGATTTCGGGGTCGCCTTGCCTCTCACACCCATTGTTGTACCACATTTGGAAAAGGAGTGGTGGTAAAGATGTCCAACGTCCGGTAATGATCAGACCAAGTGATAAGGCTATTGTGAGGGGGTGTAAAAGACCCTCCAGTCCTCATAGTGAGGAATGCTTGGAAGCGACAGTGTCGCAAACGACTTTCAGTCACGTTTCCATTCCCATCAATTGGGAGGAAATAGCCGTGGCGGAGGCAAATTAGAGACCCCCATACCCATTAACATTGAGCAAACTAAATCTCTGCAACACTTTACCAATCCAGGTTGTCAATTTTTCCCTATTTCTGTGTAATTTTTAATAGTTTATATAGCCCAGAACTTTGGCGAAGACGTGGATCCTAGTTCGTGTGGTGGACGCGCACGCTCATGCACACACCTCCAGGCTGTGATTGAACAAATCTATTTTGTTGTAGTCTCATCACCAGGCAACGAGTAACTTTGTAGAACGCAATTAAGTTGGGGCTAATTTCAGGCGATTTGGGTTACCTTTTGTCCTCTATTGCTGCAGATTGAGGCCAAAAGCGGCAGTGACAGTGCAGACGGGAGGAACGAACTTGAGGCGGCGCTGAACACCTTGAGATTAGACGTAGCTGATGTGTGTCAACGTGTCACTGGCATTGTAAGTCCACTTGCCTTTGCCATGCTATCTATAAATAAAGAGGAATTCCTTTAGCAAAATATGGGAATAATGGAACGAGAAAATAGATATTTTGAACGTGATTTAAGGTGATGGATCTCTCCTAGAGCCGCCTTTTGCTTGACCTGCTTATTCTGAATCTGTCAGGTCAAGATCCATCCAATCTACCATTCTTCTTATACCCCTAACAATTATTGTTAATCCTTTCTTTTTAATTTGGTGCCTTTCTTCGGACCACTTTGGACTATGGCAGTCATCCACTTTTACCGCATTAATCACCCCATCCACTTTGTTAGGGATCACCAAATTTGCAAAACTGCCCCATTTTAGTGGTCAGTAATCTCAAGCACTTTAAGTCAGAGTTGGTGCGTATGGACGAATTTGAAGTGGATGGCTTGATTCGTGATTACTGGGTCTGTTAGTATAGATGTCCAAGATATGGATCGGTGGTAAAAAGAAGTGATCAAGATGATTAGATTCGATGTTGATGGTCGGAGGATGAATCTGGGTTAGTAGGGCGTCTTCATTGGTTGATTAGATTATTAGGTAAAGTGAATGAAAAGGTTAAAGCATAATCTTCAAATGGATGAAGTGATGCGGAATAGATGGATGGATAAAATTGATGCTAGAGAGATGGATGAATGGATGGATACAGGATGAATGGAGTGATGGATACGAAGAGATATGGCGAATGCAATTTTTTTAACCTTTAAAACACAAACATTACGCTTTTGAAATCCCTAGGAGCAGTTTATTAAATCCAAGTTCAGTCAAATGGTAGGTCAACTGAAGGAGAAGGCCGAGAAAACCGAGGTGACTGCCGCGCAGGAGCGAATGACCTCGGAGCTGCAAAAAATGGCGATACGCCTAAAACTTTCTGCCTCTAAGGTACTGCTGGAAAATGGGACTTCACGTGACGAGGCTGCCGGTATCAGAAAGAAGATGATACTCCACTGCATCTCATGTGATCGACCTCTTCTAATAGAGGAAAAAGGAAGGTAGCTAAAAGTTAATTCCAATTTATTCCACTTTTACTCGGATTTACTTAATGGAGTTCATTTGAAGGATCTGCTGTCTACCGACCCAACATGCTCAAGTTATCGTTAGCGTAGCTTGCTGACATAATCCATCTACCGGGTGTTAAGCATTTATATGCACCGTGGATCCAAGATGGCTCCCCGCGTTTTTGTAGCCCTTGCTGTCTTTCCATTATTTTGAGTCCTCACACAATAAGTTGCCGGTTGAACAAACCTGCTTGATGTGACATAAACTTGTTAGTACTACAACCCTGCTTCAACGCAATTGCAAAGAAGTAGTTTTTCGCACCAGTTGGTATACTGCATCGTGACAAAAAATTTAAAAGCGTCGAAATCCACGCCGTGGTAAAGAAAAAATAAATAAATAAGAAGAGGGAATCACGGTTGGTGCTAGGCGGATGGACCGCATCCACTATTTATGTGATGGCGAGTAGCAGTCAGCAAGTGTCAATGCCCACCAATTTATATACACCTTACAAGTACACTTCTTTGGGATAGTGACCAATTTTTAAGCTGAAATGGCTTTAGGTGGCATTGACTATCATCTGACGATCCGCTGCGCTGCAAGTATGTGCGGTGACAATAGCTTTAGATTTTAGTAAGTTTTATTCACTAATTGAATACCAAACACTTACGGCTGTCATTTATTTACTTAATACAGCCGAAACATGTACAAGAAAAGCCTTCTTAAAGAAAGCTAGAACAGATAAAAAAATCATAAGACCTAATGCTAAAAAACTGGCTTGCATAGTAATTAACACATTAGACTGGGGAGGCAGACAATGATACCTTAACCAGTGCCTCACATCTTTTTTATTGCCTTTTTTAGCAGTCCCAACTGCTTCTTCTTAGTTGGTTATTTACTTGTCAGAAGAAGGAAAGACCACTAATTCTTAATAAATCAGGTTTTCTGCCAGTCTTGTGCCACGTTATTAGGAGGTAATTGTTAGTAATAAACATTTTAAAACATAGTATGTTAACCTTTTTTGAAAAATAAGCCGCATGAGGGTCGGACTAATCGTCCTTAAAAATAGAACTAAAGTAATACCTAAAATAGCGATGGAAGGAATAAAAATTCAAAAGCTTTATTTTTATTTTTTAATTTTAGAAGCAATTTTCGAAGAAACTACATTGACCCACCTTATATAAGGTAAAATTTTTTAGAGAGCATGTTATATTAATTGCAAACTAATTAAATTTCCCAAGGCGAAAATTCGGCCACTTAATGTAAGTGTCTGGTTATTATGATTACGTCATATTTTTGAAATTGAAAACACGATTATGTGCCTTTTAGTCACTGATATTTTAGATTAGCATTTTTGATAACCCCCACCTTCAAAACTACTTAAGACAAGGTAGTAGAAGGGATACCGCTGAGCAGGACTGCAAGTAAGTACAAGCTGAGCTCAGCGGCTGCCGTAAAAATGCATCCTTCTTAAAAATTCTCCTGATTTAAGGCTTATAAACATGCTTAATACCTAAATTGAGACTAGTGTATCAACCCAACATAATGCCATAAGAACATCCCTAAGATAGTGATTTCATTGAATACTTCATTTAGTTCCCTCAATAAGAAAGCATCATCTGCAGAAATTTTAATACCATTTGCTGGTTTTAGCACAAAGGCTCACGTGATAAGTCGCACACGATGTAATTCACCTCGTAAAAATGGCCTGAGTTTCGCTGTTTTGCATCTCCGAATGCGGGGCAACAGTGATATTCATATTTCGGGCTATTTGTAGAAACAAAGACGGAATATATGACGTGTACCGCATGAGGAGAGGCGTGGGTGGAGTTCACACGACAATGAAAGTAAATGAGGTCACACCGTCAACGCTAAAGTCAGCGAGGTAATGAAACTGATAATATCAAGTACTGAAATTAAAAGCGTTTTTAACAATAGGTTATCACTAGTTCTATTAAAAATCGCTCATTTGAACAGAAGTTCAATGACAGTAAAGAGCAAGCCTGAACGATTAATTGGAAAGGGAATTGAGCAATATTGAACAATAATGTGATAGTGGTGAAACGTGGAATGTTATTTTTGCAGTAAAATCTCATCATCTCTACAACACGTGGCAAAATTAGAGCAAAATGAGCCGGTATTACAACCTGAAGTGAACCAGAACATTGAGGTAAATCTCGACAAATTATGCTAACTTGTATTTGCGCAAACAGTGACCCATCATTACAGTGTTGCAAAAAAATATTTCCATAGATTTATGTGTACAAACAAAGTGTTTCCTCCGAATTAAGCGCAATTAGTAAAACGCTGTTGTTGCTACTCAAATTCGCCTTTCCTAAATTTAGGGCGCGTTAACACAAAATTGTGCTTAAAGTAGTATGAGAAGGATGTTCAGAATAACAAATGCAGGACTTCTCAATTCTGTCAAAAATATCCAATAGGATTTAAAGCTTGCTTGCGCAGTTTTAAAATCACTTAAAATGAAACACCAAAAAGGGTATTTTAGGCAATAATAATTGCTTTTTTGGTATACTTTAGATTATCGACTCGAGCGAAATTTCACATGACCTGGACGCAGCTCCCCCAGATGAGGCCGGAACAATTGCTCCTTTAAGTAGTCCTAAGCAATCCGATGGTAAATGCTTTGGTAACATGCATTAGTGGTTAATAAGTGGGTAATTAAATAATTGCATATTAGGCAATTTTTGCCCTTATAGATGAAACAGATCAACCGGAACCCTGAACGCGGACTCCTACTTGACCAATCAAAGTGTTCTGACAATCGCTCTCAGGATTCAACATTTCATTGCAATGAGCATAGTAAAAATTCTACAAATAGAGCCTCAAACAATGCAAGATGATTATGCTCAGCTGAAACCTGACTATCTGTTGCTTTAGTTAAACGCCTTACGATGAAATGGTGCCTTCTTATGGTGATGTTGTGCCTGATCCTGAGAAAGTTCCATGAAATTGGAGATCTGCGCCCCGGAATTAGCCCAATCAATAGAAAGATTTGAAGCCCTGAGTGAGAGCTAACAGAGAAAAAAATTTGTAGCATTTTGCTATGTGTGGGTGCAGCTTAGTGCTACTCAAGTAATGGCTCATTTAAAAATTAACTAGTGGCCGACTGGACGGAATACCTATCCCCGGGTAATTGCCATGGAAATGAAGATCGAAAAGTTGTAATTCAGGCAGAGAATTTTTAACATTCTGACAGCATGGGTGTTATTGCATTTTATGGCAGCGAGCCTCATACAACTGTCCCATCATTTAATAGCAACCCAAATTGAAGGGTATTTGAGGATGCATTTTAGAACATAAATGTAGCACATAAATGTTAACGCATAAATAATAATATCCAAATTGCAAAGTAGCTTTCACGGAAAGGGACGATTTTTCAAAATCGTTATCGTACATGATTTTCTAACAAAAATGTGAGGTATTTGCTTGCAGTAAAGATTTTGTCCAACTTTTCATCTTGCGGTGTTTAGCGGTGTGTTTTTTGTGCTCTGTTACAACCAAAAAGTGTAGCATTTTTTGGAATATGGCTCTTTTTACAAACCAAATTAGGCCCTTATCATTATCATTAATTTAGGCAAATAATTTGCGTGTCCTTGATACGGCATTTTGGCGCTCAAGCCGGTTTGCGTCAAAATCGGGACGAAGTCGGTTTTGCACAAATGGCAGTGTCTCAGCAGTACGCCTCTCCTAACGTGACTACAACTTCCTCGAGTCGTAAAGTACGTTTTCTTCGCAGGGAATTATGTAACGTCTGATGTCATGCGCCCCCATCATTAATTTTTTAAACGAATATAATAGCTTTTCAATTTAAAATCATTTTATTGGACAATGTATTCCCTCAGTAGACGCATGTATTATTGTTGGTAAGTAACGAATTTTCGACTTGCGACTTCAGATAGACTAATTTGAGTTCCTTTTGTTTGGTCGGTTACGTACTTCTATTATTTTATGCGAACAACGAATCAAATCGTTAGTTTTCTCCTTCTCCGTGGTACTAAACTAATGTGATTACTTTGGTGTTGCGTATTGCATTACTCGGCTTTTTCATACTTGTTGTGGCATTTGCACCTTATTTGCAAACTAATTAGCATGTAATTGTCTCTTGCTCCCGTTTTGTTTGGTAATGTTTATGGATCCGTGAATCGTGATTCATCTTACTTTTTCTCTTAGTCCGAAACAAGTCAATCAATTCTACGTGCAGCCCGTGCTGGCAATCTTCCCAAACTCATCGACGCAATTGCCATTCATGGAGTAGACATTAACACCTGCAATGCGGTAAGCATGCCTCCAGTTTTACCTTATTAAAAGTCTTCTGTTACCAAGTGGAATGCAAGTTACTGTAGTTTCATCTCTCTATACAATTTTGTTATCATAACTTGTGATTTATTGAAAAATTATGCATACGCACAACTCTCAAGGCTCTGCTTCTACTTTTTTTCGAGAATCGCTTGATAGAACAGAAATAATGCTCATACCCCATACTTTGAAGATTTCTTGATTTTTTCGCAATGTATGGTAGTTTTGCCATGCTGCTTTGGTCGGTGGAGCTATTGCGTTTACTTTCTAATCGTTCTAAACTTCAAAGTCTGTAGCAGACTACATTTCATTGTATCTTACACCGCCTATGTAGAAGCAGTTTTACTGCTTTTGAAGATGCTGATATCCTGTTGGTACTAGCAAGTCAGTCCAAAGGATTACGCACTTTTTGCTTGGGAAAGCAATACTTTTTCGACACCCTCAGCCTTTCCCTCACATGCAGCATTGGGCACACTTGTGTAACCCCTGTCAAGAACACCAAGTTTAATTACCGTTTGACGCCCACTTGACGTATGGGGTCAGAGCTGAAAGGGTGTCACATTGCCCTCCATTTGGCCTCAATCAGCTGCTGAAATCACTTTCTGTTTCGTCAATCTCGCCATAGTTCCATTAAAAACAAGCCTAAATCAGTTCGTCGACTTAAAGTGCTCAATTCATCCACAGAAAAATTTTAATTTAGGAACATGCCTCTTATGACATTAGTGAAATCGTTTCTTATGAAATGTATAATGTTTAAGATGATATTTACTGGAAAAATTTGCTTTCCATCACGTCGTCGCGTTATATTTCCCTATCAGAGCTATGCAGCAGATTTTACGGTGGCGCGCGATTTGGTTACAGCATTTGGAATGCCTCACAGGTCTCTTAGCGCTCTTTTTAAATTGTCGAATTTGTTCTTGCTTTTATTGTCATTACCAGTGAAGGATGCTCTTACAAGTGTTCACCCTGCATTTAGCTGAGGCGTTGAGTAGGTAAAAAAGTCGCGGATTTAGGGGGTCTACCGGGGGAATAATAACTGAAAGGCCTTACGATTACCTGTGCTGATGCTTTATCAGAAAGAAACTGGGGCAGGATCCACCTTTACATTCTGCCATCTATCTGTCTTGAATTCAAAGTTGTATACATCTATAGATATTTCCACCCATTCGTCCATCCGCTGGCGGACAATCTGTTCATCAAGCCTATCCCATTCACCCATCTCCAATTCATCAATTAGGAGTCCATCCAGAATTTATAAATTCTGGGTTCCTCTTCCCGGCCACCCATCCATTCTAGATCCAATCGACCAAACAACCGATCACTCATCCCCAATCCTTTCACCTTTTCACAACGCGACATGACAATGCATAGATTTTGTGTTGCCAGAAGGCATCTGTTCGTTACCGAACTTGTACGACCGGAAAGTGGACAGGTATGATCGCACCGGCCTTTGTGTGTTCAAGTGGTGTGACCTCGTGCAGCATCCAAACTCTGGCAGGCAAGCAATCACCACTTAACGATGTCCTCTCTGTCCTGGTGTAGCAAACTATAGCAGTTCATGGGACAAATCTGTCTGTCCAGTGTTACTTCATAGTCGGAGGTGTTGCCAATCCGAGCTGTTTGCAGTGGGCTCCGTTAAGATGTCTTCCAAAGATCCCTTAATTAAATAACCGGGAATTTGGGAGGGCTTCTGGAGGAATCCTCCTTAAAATAAGTAGAATGGAAGTAATTATTCTTTGCAATTTTCAGGTCCGTATTGTGGAGGGTAAATAGGTAAATTTAATCGTTTAAATGCTGAGTCAGTTCAACTTTTCGGCGTCTGTCGGTTCGTGCAAATATTTTATGCACTAAAGCTCCGCTTCCTAGGCGCTTTTGTTTTTTTCTGAATGAGGCAATAAGACTGGAGGTCTCCCATCCATCCATTCGTCTGCTCATCTATCTCTTGGAGCAAGTCTTGGTGATTACACATGCAATAAAGCGGTTGTCAGGCCGAAGGGATGGAACCAATGTTGAATGTGAGTGGCCGGTCCTTCAGAGTCCACTTTAACCGGTCTCGTCGCATCGCATCACATTGCATCTCAGAACAACTCATCAATTCACATCACGATCATTACACCGGCGTCAGTAATTGGGCCAGAAAAGGTCACACGACATTTGTGTGAAGTATAAACAAGACATATTTGTGATAGCTGTGTCGAAACACAATGCTCAGTTTGTACCAGGAGGATCAGTCGAGTTCTAGGTGCTCAAGTTGCGCCTTCTGAAGGGGTGCGTGTCGTCCATTGCTTCGCTACTTCCCATGGATCTGATCCACGCTCCATTTGTATGGGTGGAAGTCTCTTCTTCCTCCTTCCTTGAACATAAAGGCTATCAAAAAGTGCTTCTTTGGTCTCTGAGCTCAGTCAATCAAGGCACCAACGGAGAAAACACTTCCTCAACATCTCTTGCAAATGCAACGATCATGTTTAATCACAGATGACACAGGGCTTGGCAAAATCCACCTCCAAATTGTCCAAGGTGCCACGTGAGCAGATTTCACCGAGATGCCCTACACAACACCTTCGTTGAGTCAAGACTTCTCCAGATAGATGCAAGACTTTGGCGAAGACACACCACCCAACATGGCATATGCCACATGTGTTGACGCCTTTCAGTACGAATGGAATGACTCGCCACGAGAAGGCGCGTCTATTACGAGGAGCAGAGGTTGGGCGCTTTTATCCACGTTCTTTTAGGCACCACTGTGGTGTGAAGGTGGCATAGATACGAGGTTGTGTATTTGCGCCGCACCAGGCATCAGGGTTACCATGGCTTAATACATTCACTACCAATGGCACTTGTGTGCGCGTGTGTGGCTACCTCGGTGTTCTCATCTCCCCTTGGGCGTCTCAGGTGGGCCACATGTCTTTGCCTTTGTTTCATGAGTACGAGATGACACATCGCGTTGATTAAAGGAACGAACACACCCACACGTTCCTGTCTGTCTGTTTTGGTGCTCTTGTTCGAACCCTCCCATCATAAAATGTCCGTTGGAATGACTCGATATGGTTCGGCCTTTCCCACTTAACAAGGAGTGTTTAATTTAGATTCTGAACATTCAAACCCTCTCGGTGTAGCAAACAGTACCGCTCCGAAACCAGAAGAATTGATTCTGATGATGGATTTGGGAAAAAAATTAAGTCCATTGTGTTAATGAGGAAAATGCCTCTTTTGTCTGCCACGGTGATCGTTGTTTACGTGGGTTGGAAAGGGTCGGACTGACAGGGCGAGGGGCAAATCTCAGTCGCTTTTACCGATGGTAATGCAGTTCTGCGCTTACCTCCCACACCAATGGGGTGGGGGCAGTCGTGGGAGTCAAGCCCATGGGTGGCTACCACGGCCCTTAGACTAACAGGTTAGAACAGGCCACACCACACCTTCACATCCTCAGTGCTTTTCAAAGGCCTTTCAGACGGTATTTTTAATGGTTTGCAGGCTAAAATCCATTTGAAGTTAGCGAATGCCATTTAGCTTTCTACAATTACCATATAAAATTTCTTACTGTGAGCAATGAGTGCTGCTGCAACGTCTGCGTTTGCCACATTTCCCGCTTTGATTAAAAGCCGTAAAATAAAGGGGGAAATTCCGCCTTACTCTTGTGTGGGGTGCATGAGGGACTTTTAATTTGTATTAAAATTCCCTTCACGAGATTTAGATGTGTAGGTTTAAGGTAGGACTGAGGCAAATGAATGCCTCAGTAAGGTGCTACAATTTTATCAGAATTCGGATAAATCCCAATAAATTGAATATTAAATAGCACCCAGGAGGCACGAATACCAGTTTGCCCCCACAAGGTAACCTTTGACCTTCCTTGTTTAAATTGACAGGCTGACAATTAGTAACCAATTTTCCGACTAGTTGTCGAAGTTTCAAAAGTTTAAATCCCCCAGATATTTGAAGAAAATATTTAAACTTTTTTGTTTGCAATGCATCTTGTTAACAAATTATAGGGTGACCAAATGAGTTCATGCAATTTTCACGACGAGTGCTGATGGACAGGGGGGAAGAGCTGCAGAAAGACTTTAGAAATCATGCAATTTATTCGTTGAAGTAACTGCTAGTGCAAATTGACCCCTTTTACTTGCGGAACAGAAAGTGGATGTGGATTCTACTTCCATAAAATATTATTTTTTTTTCCACCAGCAAACAAGGACTCTATCCACCTCTGTTCATGCATCATTTTTATTTCCCAACTGACTATTCTACTTCGTTGGTGGTCGTATGATTGTCCACCCCCCAATAAAAAATTGTTTTTGCCACCCGCCCTCCCTCCCTGTCGTAATGACCAAAGTCAAACCCTTCTCATGGAGAGGTTTTTTTAGCCGTAGGAAGAGAAGAGGTCTTGTGTTGCCTTATGAGAATTCTAATAGGATTTCGGTTCCACTGATTTACCCTTACATTTAAGCCAATTCGAATGTGTATATTTGCGCCGTAATTGCTTCGTTTTTTCCGAAAATAAACAACTTCGTCTGTAATGCACGACACACAAAGGAAACCTCGTCTTCTGGAAATGAATTGCCGAGTGCCATCAACTCTTGGATTGAGTAGTAAATTGGATGAAGAGGTACAAACACACAAGGCCTATTTCTCATCACAAGTCACCAAACGAGGCCAAAATTGGCCCATTTTATCAAAATACGCGAAATAAGTAAGAAAAATTAGCAAGATCCTAGACTTCGTTATCTCTCGTATGGTAGTGCAGGACTTTTAGTGGAACCCGGTTCCTTCGCTTCCATCACGACTCCTCCCTCCAATTCGATGTGGATGCAAGTCATGAGCTCTGCCACTCGTCTTTAGCATTACTTTTGTTAGCGCTTCTGTCCTATTAGCTTCTACTTACCTGAATCGGTTACGCCACGAAATTCAGGGGTTAAGAAGTTTTCCGCCCTACCGTCGTGCATCCATCTTTGGGTAACCTTTCCTCAACCACTTTTTGGACGCTTTTTCCCTCAACCTGCAGAAATGAGTCAAACTCGATTCGCAAAGCATCGCCCAGGATCATTTAACCGAATTCCGTCATATGTGGAGGAAATGCGGCAAGGAGCATCGCACCGATGAAATTTTTAACCCTTTCTGTGCTTTAAAATGTATAAGCGTCAACGGTTGCATAAATTTGGCCATTAACAAGAGGTCATTGCAACGAGGTGTACCAAAAACCGTCACCTGACGAGCGCGTTTGGTAGACAGGTTTTGCGTCCTCTTCTGTGCGGTCAAAAAAAACCAACCGACCTTAGCGAGAAACCCAAAAAGTGTGCCTTTTACCGTGTAACGGCACCAACTTGTGGTGACCTAAGTTACCAGGATGGAAAAAGGTTTAGTTTTATTGTACAGAAGGACTAAACAGCCCGTTTTGTTTGTTGCTTACTCGAAACACACATTCACTGCAACGAACTTCCTTCCTTTTGCGCATCGAATCTGGAGTCCCTAGTGGCCAGTCTTCTGCCTTGACATATACGCGTGGTGTCACATATGTGTGACGCGGGTAGACAACGTGTTAAATACCCTCAAAATTACCTTCTAGCACTGCTACTACCACATACGAGTCTTAACAGGTCAAAGTAGTGGTCAAAATGAAGGTGAATCTGCCGTATATGGCACTGTTCATACCTTGCCCTTTCACTTTGGCATATGAGCCTTCCGAAAACGGGATTGAACAAAATAAGCACACCCAACCTGCTGTTGTTTACAACGAGTAGGCTTTGTTTCAAGAGGAATTATCTTTGATCTCATGAAATTGACAATTTGGTAACGAGTAAAGCAAGATTTTACATGTTATCGAACCCTTTCCCGTTTCTCCTCCCCAAATCCACCGGGATCGGGCAGGAGAGGGGTTAATTTGCAAGCCATTCCAGATTATAAATTAAATATGCGGTTTTCGGGGTCCAATGAAGTTGTGCTGTGGCTATGGATAGAGTAACAATAAATCAATGTGATTCATTCCGTGGAGAATCAAAGGGAAGCTAGTTTTGCCAAGGGCATTTCTATCCTGCAATTCACTTTTCCCTGCCAGCTACTCAATGGGTTTACATTCCTCAGCCTTAAGTTCCGGATGACGCGTTATTGGTGAAAGCAGACCTGCATCCCAGCCAGGGTTAACAAACCCCCGTCTTATCGTCATCTACCATCCATTCATTCTCCAGGTTGAAATTTTCTTCCAAATTGGGGAATCCTCATTCGGTCAGCGACTGACCTAATATATGCTTGCTCCGATGTACAGTTGGAGCTGCCAAAAGGTGCAGCCTAGTGTACCTCAGAAGCTTGCCTCGAGGGCTCAATTAACCCTGCCAAGGCGGGAGTAGCCTTATTGCCAATGCAGAGAAGAGGCAGGAGAGTGGTAGCTTGAATTCCCTATCCTAGATGGGAGGGAAAACAACTGCGTATTTAAATATGCACCACACTTGGCCAGTAAACTATCTTGCTTATGTTTTTTACAGAGTGGACTGAATGCTCTCCATCTGGCCTCCAAGGAGGGTCACGTGGAGATCGTCAGGGAGCTTCTTCGTCGTCACATCGATGTCAATCAACCAACCCACAAAGGCAACACCGCACTTCACATCGCCAGTCTGGCTGGCCAATTCGAGGTGGCCAAGGTATTAATTGAAAACGGCGCTCTTGTCAATGCCCAATCACAGGTCAGTTGCTAGTGTTTCAACTTGGTGACCTCTCTTCCGTGCCCCCGAGAGCTGATATGTCAAGGTTGAATGGGGTTCTGTAGCGAATACATCTCAATTGTTACTTGCAGTCGTTCCTCAGTGTTCTCTATGGTTAGACGGTATTTCTAAACCCATCTGAAGCTGGTTCCTACTTTTTGGTCTTTCTGTTGTGGCTCTCTCTCTCTCTCTCGCCAGATCCGCCTATTCATCTTAGTAACCAGCCAAAATGCTTTAGCCAGGGAAACTTATTCGAGGCGTTGTTGTAGGCGGGCACATTACGTCGTCCTGTCGTCGAAGTGGCGCCTCGTCTATTTTCCGGCGCCATGAACGATGCCTGATGCTATAAATAACCACCTTACCGCCGTATAGTGGGAAGAAGTAACAACTTCCTCTTCAGAGTAAAAAGTCGTCTTGACATTTTGACCGGTGGAAGAAGCAACCAAGTATTTGGCTTCTCTTTTGACTTTCCAAGTTTTTATCAGAGGTTGCCTAATCGCCTCTATCTCCTTATTAAATTGACAATCAGGGAAAAGTTTATTTTTCATCTCTTACCCAGTCGGTCAACAACACGAGGGAAGCGGGGTGAGGTGGGTAGCGGGCCATGGCATCAGTCGGTGGTGTCAGGACGTCCTCATTGTGCGTTCTTCAGCGGACGTATTCACTTTCCTCCATCCTGCAGCAAGAGTTAAGGCACTTTCAAAGTCTCTTCGTGATCTTCTGTAGCGTCTGGATGTTGCATCCACCCTTGGGGATTAAGAGTCAACCTTGAAGACGTAGTAAACGGTGCTACCACGGAAGGTTCAACAAAGCAGGGATCCGCAAGACCATGAGACCCAAGATAGAGGCTGAAGAGCCTTCATTGTGCGTACACGAAGCACATTTTGTGGAGAGCACTTTTCTCAAGCCATGACAGGTTTTCTTGTTTTCTCTACTAAAAGTAAAATTCAAAACAACAAATATGACATTTCCTTGAAAAGTCGAAGGAACTTATGTACTGCATATCTCCTTTCGCTCGGACTTTTACTGGAAGGATTTGGACTAGCAAGGAAAGGGTAAATGCACCTGTCAATGGCATTCATCATTCACCTTCTACTCGTATCTAAGAATGGAAAAATAATTGATATCCCATTTTATGTACAGACATGGAGAAAAGAAAACAGCTGTGGGAAAAAATTCTCCCGCTGCGGATGTTTTGTGTATTTCCGTGCTATCAGGCTTGCCTACTGCCTACCTCTCGGGAGGGATGTGGAGAAAAAACATTTTCCTACTTTTGTTACGAGGGCAAAGCCGGAGAGCGTTTGAGGTGAGTTGGGACATGTGGGATTGTAAAAGTAGGAAGTAAGCTTGTCAAGCCTGAAAAACTACTACAGCCTACTCCACTTCAGCATTAGTGATGGAATGCTACGCTCCACCCGCTTCCACTGCCTCGGTGCCTGCTTTGGTCCCAGGGACGAAGGTTTTGTCAGGTGTATTGATACAATCCGAAAAATTTCAATACCTTCTGTTAAAGCGCTCCTTCTACCTAGTACTGGCGTTCACTGGCTGTCTTGCCACCTTGTGGAATTTCACAACGACGGACTATTCGTTGATCACTTTACACACAAATTGGTTAATACTCACTGAAATGATTTCTTTGCTGTGGACACGGGGTATCAACTCGGTCAGAAATATTACTTGGTGCCCCATCTGTGTCGTGTGCTTTTCCTTGCTGTTCCATGGTAGTGCCGCCTCGGTAGCGATCCCTTTTAACGGTCCAGGTCTTACTTGAAAGTCCCTCACAGTATCTCCCCACG